AGTGTCCTGAGTGGGTAGCATCCAGAATTTACTCGAAACGAAGTCATTTAGAATGTTTTTAGAGCATAAACAGTAGTGTATAGGATTTCCTAAAAGCGCGCGCCTGCACGTTCACGACGCTACGGAAACCGCGGCAGACCAAACCAGATGAAAGTGCGCATTCAGCTCATCAAAGAACTCATACTCTTCCTCAACACTGAAGTCCTCAGACATTTTTCTTTCGTTGTTTCTTTCTTTGCACAGATAAACAGCACATTTCTTCTTCTACGCTTGCATTATCGGCAGAGCAGACGCTGAATGCTACTTTCATCTGGTTTGGTCTGCCGGCTTCCGTAGCGTCGTGAACGTGCGGGCGCGCGCTTTCAGGAAATCCTATATATATATATCCATAGATATCCATAATAAAGGCTAGATGTCTTACGGCTGAGTCTCAAACGTCATCACCGGCGGCCATCTTGCCTCAGGCAGGCTTTCTGTTGTGCTCTGTGGTACCTAATGTAAGGTGAGTGATCAGCATGAACACAAATACTCTTACCTCACTGAATTCTTGACGGATTTACAAACAGTTTGGTTTCTTACAAACATTATGAACGTGGCTATTGTTCTTGATGCTTGAACATGTCGAAATTGCAGATTTTCTTGTCGAAAAATGACTTAATCGCGCAGCATAGTTGTGCATCACGGCTACTTGCGCAAGTTATCAAGGCTGAGATTATTAGTCAATTATATAGGTTTTACTGACACCAATAACAATTGTATGACAATTAATCTTTGGTGTAAAATACAATCTTTGTGGATGTGGTTGTAGTTATTAGTTGGCTAATAACAATAATCTGAGTGTTGTTGTATTTTCATTATTAGCCTAACGTTAGCTGGCTAATAACAAGAAGCTGCGAAGTGAGACCTAACGTTAGTAAGTTAGCAGCTAACGTTACAGTTTAGCTAGCTGCTAACGTTAACAAGCAACTTTACATCAGTGGAAGAGGCAGAATTTAACATGATTTCCAATCGATTTGGTCTGTCAACACATCTTACATTATGTTACAGGAATTTGCTGGGTTTATTAAAAGGAAGATGCCAGACTTTTGCTATGACATAATAGTATTACAAGACTGTTGTTGACTCAAAGCTTTTATAAGTTTGTATTAGTTTCATTTGGACAACTTAAAGATGGTGTTGTGCCAAACATTTTCAACTTTCCAGCTCATCTTCAAAGGGCATGTGTATCATTGAAATTTAATCACATATTGATATACCAATCTTATACACCGTGAATTGTTAGTTAGTTATCAGCTATTATATAGGTTGCAAAATGTGTTTGGTCTGTGTAAAGTAATAAATAATTTACATTTATATTTTAAACAGGGACCACAGAAGAAATCCAGGCCCTTATAAATTGGCGCACTGAAAATGAAAGCCTCTTCACTGGAAAAAGGAACTCCTCCAAAACCGGATGGGAGTGAGTAATTTTAATTTATGTCTGCCTAAATGTCCATCTTCAGCTCTTGTAACTCTAAACTTGTTTTTTTTTATTCAACTAATGATTTTGTGAGAGCCTCTGGCCTGCAGGTCACCGCAAAGCAGCCAAGAAGAAGTGGCACAATTTGGTGCAAAAATACAAGGTAAAATAACAAAACTCCCTGCATAATATTAGCTCACGTTATGTATTATTCACACCACATTTCTGGTATTACCACAGAAAACCCAGTGTTGAGGGATTGTACAGATTGACTAAAATGACAAACCATTTTTCAGGAGCTCCGAGACCCACCTACTGGGCAGGGGGTTGAGGCTGGTGGTGTGACTGCTGCCACCTGGCAGTGGTATGAGGTGCTTGATGCTGCACTCCAGGGGCAGCACAATATCAGTCCGCCCCTGGTTGTGGCCAGCAGCTCGTCTGACTCTGCCAGTGGGGGGGTCACAACCTCAGCCTCTACCCCTTCATCAGCATCAGGAAGGACAGAGAGGCAGGCCAGGAAGAGAAGCAGTGAGGTCCGGCTTGACTTCCTGAAGGAGCAGGCTGAGAGGGATGAGGAGAGAGAGAAGGCAGCCTTGGCTAGGGAGGAAGCCAGGGACAGAGAGGCTTCTGAAAGGGCCAATAAATATATTTGGTCCTATTTGAAAAACTGGTTGAAAAATTATAAATAAAATATCTAAATGTTTTTCCTTTCTAAGTGAGTTTCTTCTGAGTGAGGACACAAATAATTGAAAGGAGAAAGAGAGGGAAAGAAAACTAGTAACGGTATATTAAAAAAAGAAATTTATTCAACTTTTGAACAGATTCAAGGTTTAACATATTCAACAATTTATTAACAGTTACTATGGTTTAAAACAAAGAAATAACTTCTATTAACATCTTACACAACTAGACAACACCTACAAACATACAATTAAAAATAGTTTGAATGGAAATGTTCTGATTATTTAACATATTTCTACAGGTAGTAAAAAAAAAGAAATGAACCAGCATGTGAACATGACTACATCTGACCTAGGTTAGGTCAGATGTAGTCATGTTCATTTAAACATGCAGCCAGCTGTGCTGGAGCAGAAATCTGGGCTGCCAGTCTGGCTCGGAGGCAGCTTCCAGACAGCTCCCTGTCTTCAGCCGCTGGATGGCCATCCTCTTCTGGGTCCTCCTCCTCCTCCATGTCAACCTGGTCATCTGCCTCAATACCAATATTGTGGAGGATGCAGCAGGCGGCGATAACCTTTGGGGCAAACGTCGGGCGGACCTCCAGCGCCCTAAAGAAAATGGAACGCCACCGTGTCTTCAGACCACCAAAGGCACGCTCAATGATGTTTCTTGCCTTGGCGTGATGCCTGTTGTAGCGTGCCTCCACTTGACCTGTACCAAATTTAAAATTAACTTTTAATTAAGGTAATATGCTAATATGTTTTAATGTTTTATCCAATTAATATAATCTTGGTATTAATTTTGTATCATTGTTGGCTCTATTTATGGACAAGAAGGCAAGAGATCTTACTGGCAACTGGCTGGCGATAGGGCGTCAGGAGGGTGATCGGGTACCGGAGGCACGGGTATCCACCATCACCGAGTAGAAAAAAGCCCGGTGGGAATAAAGCGTTTTTATACAACGGCGAGCGCCGCAGTACCCGTGAGTCATGGACAGAGCCGACATTGCCGATGTAAACATCCAAAAACTTTCCCTGTGCGTCACACACACCCTGCAGTATTATTGAGGGGAAGAGTTTTCTGTTTATGTAACACCTTTTTTGTGGCTCTGCAGGTGGAACAATGCGCACATGGCACCCATCAATCGCACCAACTGCTGCCTTAAAGGCCTCGTTCCCGGCAAGGTGTGCAAAACCAGCCCCCACTCCCTCCAAATCTTGTTCTTTGGGCAGAACAATGATTTTTTTGAATGATGCCCATTAGGGCATTGACAATTCTGTGCACCACCCGGCACACAGTGGACTGGGGCATCCCAAAGATGTCAGCTGTTGCCCTATATGATGCACCGCAGGCCAGCTAGTAGAGGGTCACCAGCACCTCTATCTCCTGCGGCCATCCATGGGCCTTCTGGATGGGCAGCAACTGGAGGAGGAGGACGATGGTGGCCCTGTTTAGCCTGAAGGCTGGTTTCAGGTCCCCTTCATTAAAAAATGTTCGGAGGATTGGCACTGAGGTGTTAATCCTCAAATATTTTGTTGCTGTTTGTTCCTGTAAATAAAAAATGCCAAATGTTACCATAATTGTTTTTTATATTCTTACCTTTTCACAGCGTAAAACTATACTTGGTTAACATTCAGATTCATATAATTCTCAAGAAAGAAAAGGTAAAATAGCGTTGTAGAACTAGTCGAATATAGTAAATTTAACAACTGGCTCCCCTTCACTTGTATTTTTACAATTTAATCTAATCTGAATTTACTGCACAGAATTTATAATCACTGTAAAGGTGGCCAGACATAGAAATGACTCGTCCTTTCTTAATATTCAATGCTGTGAAGGTCAGTGGGTGCAAATAGCTTAACCCTACTGCCATACTGTTACTAATGTGAATATTGGGTTTTAGTTCTAATTATTTATAGATGAATAGTCACAATTTTAACGTGATTATGTGTTTAATGGCATCCTCAATGGGGTTTTTTTTAAGATAAAAGTAGGAAACAGGCTTTCAATCTTAAAATCCTACCAGTTGGCAAAGATGGGCGAGCAGAGCCTGCCTTCTTCGCCTGCTCTGCAGCATCAAACTTCTCCTTTTTCTGATTTGCCTCCTCAACTGCGCCACCTCCTGTTCAGCCTGCTGGTAAAGCTCACCAACAACCAGAGCAATAGCAATATTGCTCATTTTTCTTCTATAAAGTAATGATTTTTCTCAAAGATGTAATCAGCTCAACCACTACGACCAGTACAACTCCCAAAAAAGAAACTTTATACCCACGGTTTGGTAATTTTTTTTAATGTTTTTTAAGCTTTAGAAATTAAAAAATATTGTTTTCAAAATGTTTTTATAACCACGGTTCGGTAATTTTTTAATGTCTAAGCTTTAGAAATTATAAAAATTATAGAAATATTGTTTTCAAAATGTTTTGTGTAGGGAATAAATAGTTTTGACTGTTAAAGAAACGCTGCATGTGATGACGTCACGAGTACGCTTCTGCTCCAATACACATACAGCTGCCTGTGGCAAGATGGCCGCCACGTGCGGACGTCGACCCCCATTGGCCAGCAGCGCGGACGAGACATCTAGCCTTTAATGGTTGATGGCTCCAAAGGAGCATCAGAAACTGGCAGAGTGACGATAACTTAAAGAAAAATTAGAAATGATGAGGGCGAATGTGATTAAGTATTTATTATGTTGGGTTAAGTTTAACAGTATTATTTTTTTTTCTGGGGGTGAGTCTTGTTTCCCTGTTTCCTTTTTTACTCCTTATCCGTTGGTGGCGGTAATGCACTTTTAACTGGTTTGCCAACCGCCATAAAACCTCACAAGAAGAAGAAGTCTCGCGATAACACGTTCTTTGCGACACATTGCGTCATACGCGTCGAATCATCCAGAACGCTTTACGACTGTTGACATTTGTATCTGCTTTCCTCAGTCGCAGTTCACATTTCTAGTCATGAAAGAGCTTCCTCTCTGAGCTTTGAGTAAATGAGTGTTTTTGATTTATTCCGCGGCTTCTTCGGGGTCCCTGGAGGCAGCTTTCGAGGCAGAAGGTCAGTTTGTTTGTTTTTTGACAAAAAATCTAGAAGTTAGTCGTCGTTAGGTAACAGAGTAGCTCCGACGAGTACAAGATTAGTGGTTTGGTTTCTGCCAGGAAAACCACAGGGGTCCCTTGTCTAACTGGGACTGTTGCTCAGTTTAGCTTCGAGGTTAATTATACCGAGTTTATCCTAATTTGTTAGTGTCAATCTTAAATTGTTGAGGTTATTAGAATATGACCTTTAGGGCTGCTGTGACTGTTGAGTGATGGACATAATTTGTCATAACTTGAACTTTGAGCTATTAATATAATAGTCCTGTTATTTTGTAATATAATATTCTAAGAAAACTAAATTTGGACTTTAAAATACCTGTAAACTACAATAAAGATGAATACACACTCCATATCCATCCTTCTAAATGTAAATGAGTGATCCAGCGCCCCTAATAAAAGGTAAAATAAAATGATATAGGAGCTGCATTAACATTAATGTGATCCTTTTTTTTTTCCCTTAGGGACCCTTTCTTTGATGCAATGACTCATGATGATGAAGACGACGATGATGAGGAAGATGGATTCTACTATGATGGCTTCAGAAGGGACCAACAGGACCCCTTTGATGGTGCTTGGAGGTTTGGCTTCAGCTTTGGGCCAGATGGGACGAGGTTTCAGGAGCCTGCCGTGTTTGGACACGTTCTGAGGGAAATGGAGGAGATCTTCTCTCAGCTGGGCCGCTGGGAGGGACATCCAGAGTCTGGACACTTTGGTATGAGACACAGCTAATGCCAAGACTGCTGCAGTCATGTTCGAGGATTAGTATTTCTTTCAGTCCATCTATACCTGGACCTTTTCCTAGCTGATTTAAGTCGGAACGGTTCTTATGTTATCTGGAATTTCCCATATTTTCCAGGTCTGAATAAATACAGTGAGAGAAAACAGTTTGGAAATATATTTATTTTTAAGTGTTGTCCTTTTCTCTCTGTTTACCTCTTGTCTTTCACAATATTGTTGCAATAATCAATTTTCCTGATGTTCTAAATCACTTGGATGCATTAGGGAACAAGAATACTCTATTTTATGGCTCCTCTGATTATCCTCTGCAGGGCCTACTTCTCTGCCATAATGCAGCTTATAGTTTATCCTTTCAAACACTGAACTAGTCTTTTTATCTCTTTTTTTATGTGTCAGATGTACCCAGAATCCTGCCACCATCTCCTCATCAGGATAAATCAGAGAGGAGTGGAGGCAGTGGGAACCCTCTGAGAGACTTTATGCTCAAATCGCCTAACAGTGACCCCCAAAGGTCACAGCAAGAGGACCTGAATGAGAGTCGACCTTTCAAGTCTCCAGATTTCCCCCAGTCGCCTTTTAAAGACTGGAGCCCTTTTTCTAAGGTACACACAACAGACTTCACTTCTGTTGTGACTCTGACATAACCTGCATCTAAGACTTTATTTTGTGTTCATAGTTCAATGATTTCTGGGGACAGGGGCCGCAGAGAACCCCACATCCTGAACCTAAAGAAGACAGAGGTAGGGGATGTCTTCCACCATTAAGTCTAAGTTTGTGTCTGTATTATAGCTGTTGTTCTTTAGTTTGTTTTTACTGATAATTTTGTGGGGTTTCAGATCTGGATTCTGCAGTGTCATCAGGTGGTCTAGATCAAATACTGACTCCACCAGTCGATCCAACACCAAATGAGCCCAGGAGCCGATCCTTCTTCCAATCGGTCGTTGTTACAAAGGTGGTCAAACCCGACGGGGTGAGTAAGCTGTAATGATTATAAATAAATAAAAAAAACATTTTAGGTACATATCTTTAATATAAACAACTCCAAACTTATGATTGAATATTATGATTAAAATAGAATTTTTATTTAGAAAAAAAAATGCCTGTAACAGAAAAGACTATATAAAAGTTAACTTTGTTTTACATTATTTCAAAGTTTAATTATCCAAAAGGAAAGTGAGAAGAAAAAATGTCCTGCATAAAACAACCATTAAAATAAGTTTATAGTTTCAGTAAATAATGGAATAAAATCAGAAAGATGGTTGTAAACATGTTTCTTGGTTTCCCCTCTCTGTCTGTCAGACTGTAGAGGAGAGACGGACAGTCAGAGATGGACATGGCAATGAGAAGACCACTGTGACACGTTCAGGAGGTCCTGGGAGGCTGGATGGACCGGATCAGCACACGGCACCAGTGCTCCCTGGTCAGCTTTGTTTCTTTCTGAGCTTTTTAAACAAAACCAGTAGCTATGTTGTTTCTTAATTTCTTTGTTTTTATTTTTTCCAGGTGACTCGAACAGCTTCTCAGACCTACGGGATGACAGCTCGTTATTCTCCAGGTTCTTTGGAGGATTTAAATAAAATGTAAACAGAAGTGCACTTTCTGAAATGGTTGGTCACAGCAAACCATCACTGAACTGACAGTAGTTTTCTAAGTAATGACCAAAATGGATCTTGTATCTTTACTCAAATTTATTCAATTCAATTTAGTTTATTTATATAGTGCCAATTCACAACACATGTCGTTTTAAGGCATTTTATAGAGATAATTCAACCAGATCATACAGTCACATTGGTTCAACGTTTTTTCATGTAAGGAAAACCAGCCGATTGCATTGACTCAATAACTCAAAGGCATCCCTCACACCAAGCATGCTTGCAGAGACAGGAAAGACGCAGCTAGGCAGAGGGGGAAAGGAGAGCACATAGTTTAAAAGAAAAGAAACAGGCCAAGCTCCAACATCTATAAACAAAGGTGTTGATGGCAACAGCCCAGCTGATATTTATCTTCAGGGTGGTGTCACAGCCAAACAGGAACAGACCAGATGAAGCTACCATGAGAAAAAGCAGAAGGAGAATACTGTTAGAGATTGAACTAACAAATTCTGCAGAATGGGAGTATAGAGGTAGACTATGAAAAGGGGTCCCTATGTCCTCCAGCAGTCTAAGCCTTTAGCAGCATAACTATAGAGATAACTCAGGATAACAGGAGCATCTCTAACTATAAGCTTTATCAAAAAGGAAAGTTTTAAGCCTGCCCTTAAAAGAGAATAACATTGAAGATTGAGCTAACACATTCTGCAGAATGGGAGAATAGAGATATTAGAAACAGAATGATGAAAAGAACACCCTGTGTCCTCTAGCAGTCTAAGCCTATTGCAACATAACTACAGACAAAGATCAGGATTAACTGATCCAGTCTATAAGCTTTATCGAAAAGGAAAATTTTAATCCTTAAAAGTAGTAGTCTTAAAAGTAGACCGCATGCCTGCCCAATGGACTAAAACTGGTAGTTTGTTCCACAGGAGAAGAACCTGATGAGTACAAGATCTGCCTCCCATTCTACTTTTAGAAATTCTAACACCCACTAGTAAACCTCCAGAGTGAACAGAGTGCTCTGTTAGGAACATAAGGAACAATAATATCTCTGATGTAAAATGGAGCTTGGCCATTTTATATGTGAGAAGGAGGATTTTAAATTATATTCTGGATTTAACAGGAAAACAATGAAGAGAAGACAGGGTAGGAGAGATATGATTTCTCTTTATAATTTTAATCAGAACTCTGGTTGCAGCATTTTGGATCAGTTGAAGAATTACAATAGTCCAGCCTTGAAGTAACAAATGCAAGGACTGGTTTCTGAGCATCACCCCTGGACAGGATATTTCTAACTTTTGCAGTATTTCAGAGATAAAAGAAGGATATTCTAGAAACCTCTTTGATATGGGATTTGAATGACAGGTCCTGATCAAAAATAACACCAAGATTTTTCACTGTATTATCCGAGATAAATTTAATCCCATCCAAATGGAGTCACTGAATTATCAGCTTCTTTTTCAAAGGTGGATATAAATCTAGTGGCTCTAGTGAGTTAAGACGCCTCAGTCCAGTTTAAGTGTTTATTTTTGTATTGTCATATAATAAAAGCAGTTTTGATGGAACAAATGAAAATAAAGACTTAATATATGCACACAGTTTTTGCCCTGTTTGTTTGGTCTCAGTTTCCTGACCTGATATAAGTCAGTTATTCTTACAGCTGTGGATGCTGTTTCAAAAACTACAAAATGATTCAGTTTTATATGGAAATGACTCGAACTGCAAAGAGTTAAAGATATAAGTTGTATTATTTATATTTCATTTAAACTGATTATGCTGTTTAGGTTGAACCACAGCATTCATTAAATAAGGGTTTGATGTAACTTTTTTTTGCATTTTACATTACTATGTGTTCTTCAACTTCTAAACTTTTCCACACCTGAAGTTAAACATATATTTGTAGATTTACAGCCCACATTTCCCTCTATATTCATCAGTGGTCAGGTTTAAAAAAAAAAAAAAAATCTGATTTCTGCAGGTAATGAATTCAGCTCCTTTTGAATCTAGTTTTTCAGTGTTGAATTATAGTCATGACCTTTTGTGTTGATGCATTTTTCAGCATTAAAAATTTTTTGGGCGAACAAAACCTTAATGTCAAATTTCTGCTTAATTAGACGTTTAAAAAAATCTAGATTTAGAAAGTTAGAATTTATTAGCATTAATTATAATATTTTTTCTCTAAATGCATCAGGACCTCAGCATCATGGATCCTCCACCATGCTTACAGGTGAAAATTGGATGCTTTTCCACATCTTAATCCTTTTTTATACCGCAAATCCATTAGAAGTGTTCTCATCTTAGTCCTTATCAAAATATGTTTTTGTTGGCCGAGCAGGCATGCCTCAAAAGTCAGTGTTTGAGTTTTAGATAAACCTGCAGGTGAAGTGAGGTTTCATTAATGAAAAATATAGTAGATAATTAATAAAGCATAGGCCTTCAGAACAGAGAGGTCAAGCAGATCAGGGCTGCTGCTCTGATTCTGCTCCAGGGATGTCTTAAAAAAAATTGCCTCTCTGTTAAGAAAAAAAAAACTCAGCCTTGCAATAAACTCTGTGACGCAACCCTGGAGTCCAGCATGAAAGTGCAATCTGTGCTCAGTGAGACAGAAGAAGCAGAGCTGTGCAGACCACATCTGATACCCGCTTCCCGTCTCTAAAAACTCACGCAGACCAGGGGATGGAGAAGCTGCTGAGGTGCTGTCGTATCAGAAGCCCTTTGGTCAGGGAATGTCTGGCTGAATGTCTAGGAGTTTACGTCATGATTGTGAGTAAAACTGATAAAACCCTCCAGTAATGTCCGTGTTTACAAGAGATCTTTTGAACTGTTTTATGTTGACATGATTTAGTCATTTTTAATCAAACCAGAGCAGAAAACTAAGAGAGAGAGGTGAGACGTGTGGGGCAGTGTTATTTTTTACCCTTAATTACTGTCTCACTTACCAGTGCAATGAACATTTACAGCACACACCATAAAGCAGGTTAATCAGAAGTGAACTTCATAAAAAAAGGAAAAAAAACATAGCTGTTTGCAAGTGTCAGATCAGGATGTTGCAGCCATCTGGTTTAAAGTCAAAGCACATTTAATTCTCTGCACATAGCTTTCTTTCAGCACAGCTGACATGTTTTGTGTATTTGCAGTTGTTTGGATGTGGATCCGTTGCACAGTCGGTCACCTCTCAGGAAAAAAATGGCCAGTATCTTTCAATTAATCTGGGCTTTGCTTTTGGGGTCACGTTTGGGGTCTTTGTGTCCCGTGGAGTCTCAGGTGAGATTTTGTGTTTTTCTTAAACAGACAATCTTCTTTAAATTCTTCTGGGTTTTTATTTTTTGCCCTTGAGGGTAAAATCTGAGTTGCTAAAGGCAGAGGTTCCCAACCAGGGAATAAGGGTTTATTTCAGTAGATATTAGTGTCTTTATTTCATCTTTGATAAGAAGCTGAAAAATGCAACAAATAAAAAATGCAGAGTGTTTGCTGACAGATGCACCTTGTAATAATAATAATATAAAACAAATCTGTAATGAAACAAGAATTTAAATGTATTTTTTTATTATTTATTCTGCAAAACATTTGAATATAGACACAGAGTGGCTGCACTCTCTTAATCTGCCCTCTCACTTTCTGCTTTTCAAATATACTTTGTCCAATAGAGCATATTTGATGACTCTTTTTTTATAGCAGTGGTTCAGGCAATAGTTTTGATGAGCTTGACGTTGAACTATATTTAGATTTATAATGTAACATATTTTTGGCACTAAAGAGCAATGCAATATATGGCCTTACTCTGTCTTTTTTACCTGGTATCTATTTATTCCATTTTTCAATTTTAGTTAAATCTGATCAGTCATGTTTTGATTTGTGTTAATAGAAATAAACACGTCAAATTTATCTGTTTATTTTATGAGTCAGTATTATGATGGCAGGGTCTTTGGAGGGTTGAGCCTCTAAAACGCTTGTGCGTGTGCCTACAACCACAAACTATTAGTATTTTAGTTTACCAATGATTGGTAGCTCACTGTTGTCATGGGGAAAGATATCTATGCCTAGTCTCATGATTTTTCAAATAGAAATTCTGTATATAATTGGAGCCCCTTTAAACTTGTCACCGCTTAATAAATTACAGCAATAAACGCCTTAGAGTTTTGTTAGAGATCATTAGTGATATAGAGATATCAAAGAATGAGTCGGGTTCTGAAATGATGTCTTGAGCTTTAAACACCTCAAATAAGACAGAAGTGAAAGGGTTTGTGTTGAACTTGACATTTTAGATTGTAAAATTTTAATTTCCTTGTGAAAATCACAGCCTAAATAAATGGTTGACAGCCTGAGTGAGAGCGCCTTTCTTTTATTTCAGTTGCTGGCAGCTCAGAGTCATTTGGCAAACCTGAAATGGCCTCAGATCTGAAATTTGGACTACTTTGGTTTAGATGAAGACATGTTTATATGTTCAAATGGATCAGTCAATGCTCAGACCAAAAAATAATCACATCTTTAGCAAGACTGGATATTCGCACATGCTCATTATTCAGTTAAGTGGAATGGAGAGAAGTTTCTGAAGCTGTCGGAGATGAACACAGAGGGACTCCCTCCTGCAAAAACGATCTAGAAATAAGTACAATTTCTTAAATTAAATGTAATACCCTTAATTGAGCAGGTGAATGAAATACTTTGCCATGGGAGAGAGTAGTTTTACTCTTATAGTAAGATAATTACATAATATACACTTGAAATAAGACAATGCTTTTGTTTGTTTTTTCTTATTTTAAATGCAGTTTGTCTTGTTCCACTGGCAAAGTTTCTAACTTGACTCCTCAATTAAGAAAAAAAATTACTCATTTAGATTTCAATTTTTTGCAGTGTGTAGTGACTCTGAAGCATTGAATCACCGAGGCAGAACAAAAATGTATGATTTTAGAGAATCATACCTCCTTTTTTTCCATATCACTTTGTTTAAAAAAACATTAAAGTTTTACACGGATTATGGAAAATTATTAGTTTGTTTGTGTTGTTTGACCTTAAATAAATGAGTATTGCAGTTAATTTAATGATATACATATATATATATATATATATATATATATATATATATATATATATATATATATATATATATATATATATATATATATATATATATATATATATATATATATATATATATATATAGAAAGCTAAGAATTCAAAACAATCTTCAAAACAATAAAAAAAAAATCGTCATACTTCAAAATGTATTCATTTTCAATTCTATTTTTTAAAGGGGGCCACCTGAATCCTGCAGTTACTCTGAGCTTGTGTGTTTTGCGAAGACACCCATGGCTGAAGCTTCCTTTTTACACCATTTTCCAAGTGCTTGGAGCCTTTCTGGCTGCAGCCACAGTTGCTCTGCAGTACTATGGTGAGTCAACATGCTTACACTGCATCCAGAAAGGTTTTATCAGTGAGGAATTCTGCTAAATGGATAAAAAAGAAAAACTTAAGAGTAAACATGTTGGAAAATGTCACTGGCAATGTCTAAAACTCAAGTTCATTGAGGTATTTAAAAACATAAACAATGGATTCCTTTTATCCAACTCTGTCTTTCTCTACAAAATGTAAACTTTATATATATTTGCAGTATTTGCATCACCCCAAGCTCATCTAGGAGGAGCATGTCTTGCAAGTCAATGACTCGATCCAATCGACTGCTTTTCCTTCATAGATACCTTTAACCAATCTGACTATTGTCTCTGCAAAGTGCCTTGAGAGGAATCGTGTTGTCAAAAATCAAAAATCCTCCGATTTGGCCGATTTAGAAAAATTCTGTGAAAAAAAAAAAAAAAAAACACAATTCCTCCACAGTTATTTTAAGAGACTAATGTTATCACAGTGGTGGAGAAACCAGTAATTACATTTAGGGGGCAGACCAACCGATTTGCACGTGGAACCAGGTTGGTTGTATAGTTTAGGTCAGACATAATGACACATTTTTAATTTTTGTGACATGAGAAAGGCAAACATATAGGGAAGAAAATCTGTAAGAGCCAAAAACCTTGACTGCACTTTAGGGAAACTTATAGATTTCCATCTGTATCTATTGCTGCATCACTCTGATCTGTGCTGTTAGACAAATACATTTTTTTAGTGAACATTTTCAATAAAGGTCAGAGCTTAAATAAAAGGTTTGCCTTTTCAAATTGTTAAAACATTTTGCCAATATTTGCGCAAGTTCTGTTACAGTTGTGAGTCTTTGTTATAAAATAAACAAATCATTTGTAGACGCCATCCAGAATTACAGCGGGGGTCAGCTGACGGTGAGCGGCCCGAATGCCACAGGTGGAATATTCTGCACTTATCCAGCTGATTACCTCAGTTTGTGGGGAGGCATAATAGACCAGGTCAGATAAATCTGCTCTTTTAATCTTAAATATATTAATCATTTAAAGATGCCATGTTGAATCAGCTCATGTCCTGCAGGTGATTGGCACTGCTGCCCTTCTGCTGTGTATTCTGGCTCTAGGAGACCAGAGGAACACCTCCATACCGGATTATCTTCAGCCTCTCCTGGCTGGAGCTACAGTGCTGGTTATCGGCATGTCGATGGGCTCAAACAGTGGATATGCCCTGAACCCGGCCAGGGATTTGGGTCCTCGGATCTTCACTTACATTGCTGGCTGGGGAGATGAAGTTTTCAAGTTAGTCTTTGCACTGCTACTAAAACATTGTCTCTAATATTCATCCATGTTTTTTTCTTCTTCTTCTTTTAAATCCAAACTAATTCTGTTTTTGCAAATGTGTCTCAGGGCTGGAGGTGGTTGGTGGTGGGTCCCGTTAGTCGCCCCCTGCATCGGCGCACTGGTCGGTACTCTAATCTATGAACTACTGATTGAAGTCCACCATCCACCCCTCTTCTGTGAGACCCAGTCTTCATGTCAGGAAACGTCGGACAAGGAAACATCAGATAAAACTAATCTGGAGTTGGAGAAAGTGGAACCAGGAGGTGGAAAATCTATTTAGCCATCGAACTGAGTGTGGTTGGGAAAAAAATCAGCCTCCTATTAATTCTCTTTTACACATGTTGATTTGTGAGTTTCATTCATTGAGGCCTCAGAGCTGCAAGGCTACCAGGTGTCTAAGGGAGAGGGGTTGTTTATCCTGTTAGAGATTGTTTGGGATAAAAAACAATAACAAGCTGGACTGTTTCTCAGGGATTATTTCATAGCATTATATGTTGTTTCCAAGTGTCTGTAACTGTTTGGGTAACATTATGTAGAGACCATAAGAGCCTTTCTGCAGGGTTTAAATTAGTAAGACAAACTTTGTCTAGCCAAAGAAGGGCTGGATATTACCATATGTCTTTCTATATTCTCTTTTTATTTGCATAGATAATAAAAAGCAGACTGAGTGAAATCCATCGATCTCCATTTATTTGACTGGACTGTCTAGTTTTTCACACTACACTGAGCTGCAGAAAGGACTGTGGACTCTGATCTGACATTTGGGATAGCAACATTAGAAGGCTTCAGAAGAAGACATGCTATTTACCTTAACAGCTATTTAATTATGAACCAAACCCAGTGAGACATTTATGGTTCAAAGGAACCTATAAGAGATTATACAAGAGATTATACATGATTAAAGCAATTATGTATTCCTGAACTATAACAATAAAACCAGAATCAGAGGTGAGAATCAACAGCTCTGATTCTGGTGTACTCTATCTGTTAACTGAAAACTGGTGGAGTTTGATGAAGCTGTGACTCCAAGGTTAGACATATGAGGTGCTCCTAAGCATGAATATGATTAGAGCTCTTATATCAGTAACTATTACGCTTTAATTTGGGTTAAGGCGAAGCATGAAGCATGAGCGATTTTAGTTTTTCAGTATTAGGGGTTTAGCAGGGATGGACTGTAAACACATTTTGTATAAAACTGGTGTAATGTATTGTGATCACATTTTGCATAGAAAAAAGGCCCATATAATGAAATAATTTTTGAATAATTGTTGAGCCAGCTCAAGCTTGAATTATTCCTAATGATAAAACTATCAGAGTCCTGGGTGTTTTTGCAATGTATTTTATTTATATAGTTTTCTGATGTTGTTGTTGTTTTTTTAATTAATTTTGGTATATTATTGTTATGCTTTATCTCTCTGTAATGCTGCTGCTCTCCCTCTCTCATGATCATGATCATGCTCTACTGATGTCTGATCCTCCTTTCATTTTAGTGCAGTCAACAAAAAGACCATGGACGTAATTTTTTTTTTGGGGGGGGGGCAGGGGGGACATGTCCCCTGCACTTTTTCAAACATCCGTTTTGGTCCCCTGCATGTTTTACTGTTCAAAAACAATGTTATGCTACAGTTCACAGATATTCGTCAAGCACTAGGACCAAGCGGAAAACAGCAGCTAAAACTGAGCCCACTTCCCTGAGTTTAGACCGCCCACAAGCTCCTGATTGGCCCAACATCTTCTGTGATTGGCTGTCACTACTGTCACTCCTGAGAAGCTGACTTTACAAACATCTGATGTGCCACTGAATTGGATCTTTGATTAGATGGTCAAACATGCTGATGTTAGTTTGATTAAAAAATACATATGCCCTCACACTTCTGAAATCATAATTTCATCCATGCAAAAGACACATTTAAAATGCATAAAGTTTACTTAAATAAAACAAATAAATGCCAAATCCATTCAACTCTGACTTTCTTATGGTGAGGTTGCTACCAAAACATTGTCTCTAATGTTCATACATGTTTTTTTCTTCTTTTAAATCCAAACTAATTCTGTTTTACTAATGTGTCTCAGGGCTGGAGGTGGTTGGTGGTGGGTCCCTTTAGTCGCCCCCTGCATCGGCGCACTGGTCGGTACTCTGATCTATGAACTACTGATTGAAGTCCACCATCCACCCCTCCTCTCTGAGACCCAGTCTTCATGTCAGGAATCGTCAGACAACGTAACATCAGATAAAACTAATCTGGAGTTGGAGAAAGTGGAACCAGGTGGTGGAAAACCTATTTAGCCATCGAACTGAGTGTTTTTGGGAAAAAAAAAATCAATCTGCTATTAATTCTCTTTTACAAATGTTGATTTATGAGTTTCATTCATTCACGCCTGAGAGCTGCAAGGCTTCCAGGTGTCTAAGGGAGAGGGGTTGTTTATCCTGTTAGGGATTGTTTGGGATAAAATACAACAACAAGCTGGACTGTTTCTCAGGGATTATTTCATAACATTATACAGGTGCTGGTCATAAAATTAGAATATCATGAAAAAGTAGATTGATTTCAGTAATTCCATTTAAAAAGTGAAACTTGTATATTATATTCATACATTACATACAAACTCATATATTTCAGATGCTTATTTTGTTTAATTTTGATGATTACAAATGACAACAAATGAAAATCTCAAATTCATCATATCAGAAAATTAGAATATTGTGAAAAGGTTCAAAATTGATGGCCCCTGGTGCCACACTCTAATCAGCTAATTAACTCAAACCACCTGCAAAAGCCTTTAAATGGTCTTTCAGTCTAGTTCTATAGGCTACACAATCATGGGGAAGACTGCTGACTTGACAGTTGTCCAAAAGACGACCATCGACACCTTGCACAAGGAGGGCAAGACACAAAAGGTCATCGCTAAAGAGGCTGGCTGTTCACAGAGCTCAGTGTCCAAGCACATTAATAGAGAGGCGAAGGGAAGGAAAAGATGTGGTCGAAAAAAGTGTACAAGCAAGAGAGATAACCGCACCCTGGAGAGGATTGTGAAACAAAACCCATTCAAAAATGTGGGGGAGATTCACAAAGAGTGGACTGCAGCTGGAGTGAGTGCTTCAAGAACCACCACACACAGACGTATGAAAGACATGGGTTTCTGCTGTCGCATTCCTTGTGTCAAGCCACTCTTGAACCACAGACAGCGTCAGAAGCGTCTTGCCTGGGCTAAAGAGAAACAGGACTGGACTGCTGGTGAGTGGTCCAAAGTCATGTTCTCTGATGAAAGTAAATTTTGCATTTCCTTTGGAAATCAAGGTCCCAGAGTCTGGAGGAAAAGAAGAGAGGCACTTCATCCACGTTGCTTGAAGTCCAGTGTAAAGTTTCCACAGTCAGTGATGGTTTGGGGTGCCATGTCATCTGCTGGTGTTGGTCCATTGTGTTTTCTGAGGTCCAGGGTCAACGCAGCCACATACCAGGAAGTTTTAGAGCACTTCATGCTTCCTGCAGCTGACCAACTTTTTGGAGATGCAGATTTCATTTTCCAACAGGACTTGGCACCTGCACACAGTGCCAAAGCTACCAGTACCTGGTTGAAGGACCATGGTATCCCTGTTCTTAATTGGCCAGCAAACTCTCCTGACCTTAACCCCATAGAAAATCTATGGGGTATTGTGAAGAAGAAGATGCAATACACCAGACCCAACAATTCAGAAGAGCTAAAAGCCACTATTAGAGCAACCTGGGCTATCATAACACCTGAGCAGTGCCACAGACTGATCGACTCCATGCCACGCCGCATTGCTGCAGTAATACAGGCCAAAGGAGGCCCAACTAAATACTGAGTGCTGTACATGCTCATACTTTTCATGTTCATACTTTTCAGTTGGCCAACATTTCTATAAATCCTTTGTTTTTATTGGTCTTCAGTAATATTCTAATTTTCTGATATGATGAATTTGAGATTTTCATTTGTTGTCATTTGTAATCATCAAAATTAAACAAAATAAACATCTGAAATATATGAGTTTGTATGTAATGTATGAATATAATATACAAGTTTCACTTTTTAAATGGAATTACTGAAATCAATCTACTTTTTCATGATATTCTAATTTTATGACCAGCACCTGTATGTTGTTTCCAAGTGTCTGCAATTGTTTGGGTAACATTATGTAGAGACCTTAACAGCCTTTCTGCAGGGTTTAAATTAGTGAGACAAACTTTGTCCAGCCAGAGCAGGGCTGGATTTTATGTCTTCCTATATTCTCTTTTTCTTTGCAAAGAGAATAAAATGCAGATTGAGTGAAATCCATCGATCTCCGTTTATTTGACTGGACTGTCTAGTTTTTCCACACTACACTGAGCTGCAGAAAGGACTGTGGACTCTGATCTGACATTTGGGATAGCAACATTAGAAGGCTTCAGAAGAAGACATGCTATTTACTTTAACAGCTATTTAATTATGAACCAAACCCAGTGATACATTTATGGTTCACAGGAACCTAAAAGAGATTATACAAGAGATTATACATGATTAAAGCAATTATGTATTCCTGAACTATAACAATAAAACCAGAATCAGAGGTGAGAATCAACAGCTCTGATTCTGGTGTACTCTATCTGTGACCTGAAAACTGGTGGAGTTTGATTAAGCTGTGACTCCAAGGTTAGACATATGAGGTGCTCCTAAGCGTGAATATGATTAGAGCTCTTATATCGGTCACTATTACGCTTTAATTTGGGTTAAGGTGAATCATGGGCGATTTTAGTTTTTCAGTTTTAGGGGTGCAGCAGGGATGGACTGTGAACACATTTTGTATAAAGCTGGTGTAATGTATTGTAATCACATTTTGCACAGAATAAAAAGGCCCATATAATGAACTAATCTTTGAATAATTGTTGAGCCAGCTCAAGCTTGAATTATTACACATGATAAAACCATCAGCGTCCTGGGTGTTTTTGCAATGTTGTTTATTTATATAGTTTTCTGACGTTGATGTTTTTTTTTTATAAATTTTGGTTTATTATTCTTATGCTTGCTGCTGCTCTCCCTCACTCATGATCATGATCATTTAAAAAGCATAAAGTTTACTAAAAAAAAAAAAAAAAAAATCCAAATCCATTCAACTATGACTTCCTTATGGTGAGGTTTATCTTTTTGGACACATTTCAATCAGTAAAATATACTAGTTACCTCCATAATTAGCATTTTATGCATCAATAGTTTGTGATAGTTTTGCTTTTTGTTCTTACATGCTTAAAGTCAGATCTGTTTATGGTATTTGATGTAAAAAAAAAAAAAAAAAAGTCACATAAAGGGTTCATAATGGTGCACAGATTGAGGGGATATCTAGTTCAATGTAGTTGATGTTTAAAACGGAGTGAAAATACACCAACAATGTTCAGGAAGTCACCCTGGCAGCATCTCATGTTCAGAGAGACAAAGAAGGTGAATATAGAATGAATACCTGCTAAATCTGAAAGTTGTCTGCTGTCATTCATGGTGGCACATTTTCAGCTCACATAAGGGGACAGACACCTGCGTGTGGATAGAGATGAGTTTGCCCAGGCTTCAAGGATTGAACCATTTTCCAAAGAAGAAGGGATCATCTAATTATTATTATGGATTCATTTCAATTTAGTTTATTATGATTTCAAGGCACATTAATGAGATAATTCAACCAGATCATAGAGTCAAATTGATTCAAAGTTTTCTATCCAAGGAAAACAAGTTGATTACATCGACTTATTGACTCGAAAGCAACCCCTCACACCAAGCATGCTTGTAGCAACAGTGGAGAGGAAAAACTCACTTTTAACAGGAAGAAACCTCCAGCAGAACCAGGCACAGTGTGAGCGGCCATCTGCCGAGGCTGAATGGAGTTTAAGAGACAGAAGCAGACACAGAAAAAAGAAGCAGAGATACAAAACTGTCAATCAGCCCCACAGGTGGCCCGTCCAGGAAACACAAAGCCAGGCAGATGAGCTCCCATGTCAGAGGATGAAAGAGAGCACATACTGCTGTGGTAGTACTGCAGTCAGTCAGAGAAACAGGACTTCACTTAAAAACAGGCCAAGCTCCAACATCTATAAACAAAGGTGTTGATGGCAGCAGCACAGCTGATATTTCTCTCCAGGATGGTGTCACAGGCATACAGGAATAGACCAAATGAAGCTACTATGATGAGAAAAAGCAGAGAGAGCATAACGTTTAAGATTGAGCTAACAAATCCTGCAGAATAGAGATGATAGAAGCAGAATGATGAAAAGAGGACCCTATGTCCTCCAGCAGTCTAAGCCTATAGCAACATAACTACAGACAAAGCTTAGGATTACCTGATCCGGTGTATAAGCTTTATCGAAAAGGAAAGTTTTAAGCCTTGCCTTAAAAGTAGACAGCGTGTCTGCCCAATGGACTAAAACTGGTAGTTGGTTCCACAGGAGAGGAGCCTAATAACTAAAAAATCTGCCTCCCATTCTACTTTTGGAAATTCTAGGAACCACTAGTAAAGCTTCAGATTGAGAGCGAAGTGCTCAGTTAGGAACATAAGGAGCAATCGTATCAGATGAAGCTTGGCCATTTAAGGCTTTATATGTTAGAAGATTGCATTAACTTTGTATTAGAAAATAATATATTATTTTAATTTCCTCTCCAATATTTTAGGGGTGTATAAAATTTTATTGCTAAATGAGAAAGTAAATCTCCTTTTTTTTTAAACAAAAACTGTAATCTAGATCTCGATGTACAATAAACCAATGGCAGCTGGATATATTCCTTTAAAAAACCCACTTTAAAGAAGACCTCAATCAAACGTTGGCACATTTTCAGATATTTTCCACATTTATTTCCAAACAGCACAGAAGTGTATGGCATTTTAGCAAGCAGACCACAACCATGGAAAATAAAATGACATAAAATCGCCACTATAGAGCTATATAAATATGATATGACATATAAAAAAATTACAAAGTCCGCTCGCAGGCCTCCACTGGGCAATTGCGAGGGCTTAAACGTACAAAAAGAAAAGTGTGGGTACAGCAAGCACTGATCCGGTAGTTGCAAAAGAACGGCCTTAGAGAGAAATTTCGTGTTTTCATCGACGTTGAGACGAAACACGTTCTCTCCTTTGCTTTGTTTTCATAATGAACTAACTCTGGGAAGATTTGTTTTCTTTTCAACTTTTACCATTTTTAAGGGTTGAACATTACAAGTACAAATACTACACATATTCACATTATCATAGTAAGTTACTAAAACCAGAACGCTTTCTTAGTGTACTTGTATGTATTTACACAGGAAAAACTTCGTACACTTGCACTACTGACAGGAATCTCTTCTTCTAGCTTCAACAATTAACAACCTCACAATTATTCACACCAACCGGGTCACAGACTTCCTGCAACCATTTTTTCTCAGGTTTCTGTTGCACAGACTCTCTAAGATACAAACAGCAGTGACATTTTTAGTATAAATAAATATTGCAACATTAAAAATCAGTCAGTTTTCTTTAGGCGCTCCACTTCATGCTTCATTTGGCTCTCCTTCACCAACGTGAGGAGGCGTTGGGGTAAAAACCGGAGTGGAACAGGCAGCGTGAAGGCGAGGTGACGTGCAGACGAGATGTGTGGATATGGTGGGTGAGCGCTGTCGGAAATGGGAGGACAGGTAAAAATGGCTGTTATAAAGGCTATTACCCAGAAAGAGCTTCTTACAAGACTAGCACAGGTGTAATAAGATCTAACATGCAGCTACAGTCGCACATAGGAGGTGCCGTAGAGGATAAAATGTTTCTGGGTGATCTTCAAAAAAAAAAAAAAGGTCTCTTTAACATTCATGTTCTACAGCCCCCCATCCCTCCCTCCCCTACTGGGGTTTGTCTGTCTTGTGCGCGGTGAGGAAGGCCATGCCGTGGGTCCTGAAGTGCGTGTTGAGGTCGGTCGCCTTGTCGAACCGCCGCCCACACACCCTGCAGCCCAGGTTCCCGTCTCCGTCTTCCAGGTGTGCCAACGGGGAGGCGTCGCCGGGAGAGGTGCTCGGCGAGCCTGGAGCACGCGGTGTGCCGCGCTCCGTGTCGTTCTGCGTGTCTCGCACCCTGTGAGTGATAAAGCGGTGTCTGCTGAGCGAGCCGGCCGACGCGAAGCAGACACCGCACTGCAGGCACTGGAAGGCGGCCGTGTCACCTCGGTGCTGCGGGATGTGACGCTGGAACTCGGCGCCGTCCTCCGTGGAGAAGCCGCAGGGGACGCAGCGGAAGATGCTGTCCTCCTCCTCCAGCTCGCTAGGTGCTGATGAGTTTGAAGCCATCGATGCTCTGGTTCTCTTTGCGGGGCCTCCGCCCTCCTCTGTGGCGCCTTCCTCTTCGTCTGCCTGCCTGCCTGCAGGAGGACCGACCTCGCCATCATGTTCAGAGGAGCTGCCCGCTCCTTCACCTCCTGTAGCTGCTCTCTTCCTGGTCAGAGGAGGACCCTGAGGGTGAAACAAATCAGGCTCATTAGAGAGGTCCTAAACAGGAGGCTGATGCTTGAATGCATGAATCAAAATGGCAAAACTGAAAGTAGAGACTAATTTCTAGTGATCTAAAGCCTTTCTGCTGCCATTCAGTGATTAACAGGCTAACAGAAGTATTATAAAGTCTATTCTCTGAGAGACAGGGAGTCAGATTAATGACTTTAGAACTGGGGTGATATGATCCACTTTTTAACTTTTGGTGAGGATTCTGGATCAACTACAGCTGTCTGATTCGAGTTTTTAGGTAGACCAGTCAGGACATTATTGTAGTAATCAATTCTGCTATAGATGGTCGCATGAATTTGTTTTTCAAGGTCTACTGAAACATTAGTCCTTAATCCTGGAGATGTTCTTCAGGTGATGGCAGGCTGATTTTGTTGGTTTCTATAGTCTTCTGAAAGTTCAAGTCCATCATTCCACTCAGATTTGGAGCCTGATTGATGGTTTCTACCTGTGATAAATGAAGCTCTGTGCTAACTTTTAAACACTATTATTTTGGTCCAAAAACTATTCAGTTCTGCACTGATTTAGCTTAAGAAAACTGCAACACATCCATGCATTGATTTCTTCTCTGTATTTAGCCAGTGTTTGAATAGGTTCCCAGTCACCTGGTGACATCTTAGGTTACATTCACACTGCAGGCCTTAATCCTCAATTACGATTTATTTGTTAAATCCCATTTCTTTAGCATTGCCATTCACATTTCCAAATAAATGCGACGTATATGTGATCTCCTGTGTGAACTGCATTCATACAACGCCAGTGTCCTGCATGCGCAGTAGAGGACGAAATGACGTCACAAGCAAGCATGCTCTGTGTTTACGGAAGTAAACATGGATGGTAGTGCGGGAGCCATCTAGCTTCATATCAAAGCTTCCATCTAAAGTGATCCTGCTAAAAGGAAGAAACAATTACTCAGCAAAAGTACTTTTTATTTACCTGTCCATCTGTTGGTCTGTGATGGAGTCGAATATGTTTGTCCAACAAGAAGCGGCTGCCAAATGTTCTCTTACCTTCTGTGCAAAACCTGGAAAAACAGATAAACACATAACAGAGTGCTCTTAGTGCCCCCTAATGGTCAGGATTTGGCTTTACTGGTTCCTTAACAACGGAACTAGAAAAATCGTATTTATTTTTAGAAATTACTGACCATACTGAAACTTCACTTGAATTAAAATGAGAGCAGTGTGTCTAGAAAAAGGTTTGTCCCCGTATATAAGAAGAAATCTTAGGTCATCTATTTTAGAAAAATAACTAAAAAGATATTTGAATATTATAATTAAAATAAATACATTGCTGAAAACCTCAGAATATGAGTTATAAACTAAAGATTAATAAGGCAGTCCCTGCAGAATGCTGCATCACGGGATACAAACATTAAGTGCAGTGGATAGAAAAACTGATTAAAAATGCACAAGCGACCAGAGTTAGCCATAACCTTAAGAGGATTGTGAAGTAAAGTCCTTGATCTGTAAAGGGTTTACAATGAAAAGAAAGTGTCTGACCTATTTTGCAAACATCAAAACCGTCTGACAGCTTTGAAAGTCAGCAGTAAGGTTTGTGATCCGTGGCAAAGAGGCCAAAGATGGATTAGTCATATTGCTACGCTTTAAAATAGTTGTAGTCTCATGATGTAGTTTACCATCTAGTCCAGCTAATGACAATAAGTGAACGAGACTCGATAGAATCCAGCGGACAAGTGTGAAGATGCCTCTAAGGAGATGGAGCATCTTTACTTGTGTGAGCCAATCAGAGCTGAAAGTCAGCCATGATGCTGCTGAATGGGATTTTAGACAGCACCAACTGGTCTCAAGAGTGTTTCTTCTTATAACTATGAGTGCATCGTTTGGTGTAAAACCCTTTGTCAGGGTAACTAATTCATTAATGTAAAACTATAATATTGTAATGGTGTGTTGTGGTTTGAATGTGAGAGTTTGTTTTATAACTGTGTAGCCTATGTAACTGCTGCCGTTGGGACAGTGGATGGAAATGGCTTCAATCCAGCATGTTTACATTTACATTAACATTTACAATCAAATTAATTAATTAACTTTATGCCAACACTATAACTTTCTATTCTGTGCTTTGAAATGATCAATCCCTGCAGCACCAACACCATAAGTTTCATTAGCTGGAAACCAAAATCATAAAACTCCAAAGGTAATAAAAAAAAAAAGCTTAACATATCACTCAAAGTTTTAATGTATGATTTTCTGAATTTAATACATTTTTTATTATGTAGTTAATTTGTTGAAATAATTATCAATACAGCTCGACTAGAATTGCTTCTTGTAGTTTGATCAGATTAGCTTCTAGTGTTTGTTTTGTGAATATATACATAAAAAACTAAAGCTGCTATGACTCACTGGCAGTGGAAGACTCTTTTATTGCCCTCATGAATGACCCTTTCGTGACGTCGCAGGCTGGAAGAAGTGCTGAACGTTCCGCCGCAGATACGACAAGGGAACTGTGGAGCGACCGCATTGAGAAAAAAAAAAAATACAATCATTGATATGATCCCATTTGTTTCACTACAGCTCGAAATCCACGCTCAGGACCATGTCCCACCTTGCCGTGCTCCATTTTCACATGACTCTGGTAGTCGTCGTTGTCAGTAAAGGTGGTCTGACACTGAGGGCATGTCCACTCGTTCACGGCAGTGGAATGACCACTGCCCCCTGTGCCGCCACCAGACTGGCCACCTGGGGCTTCGTAGTCCTCATCTCCCTCATCGTCATCATCCTCCTCCTCTTCCTCCTCCTCCTCCTGCTCCCGCCCCCAGTCCTCGCCGTCTGAGGTGTCGGGCTTTGCAGAGGGTTTCAACTTGAGGCCGGATGGGCTGGACGAGTTGGTGGGAGCTGAGGCTGGGTTGGAGGTGTCAGGCTGAGACTCCTGTTTGGCTGCAGGGCCTCTGTGGGCGGTCTAAGCGGGATGACAGGGACATTTTACAGAGTTCCCAAACATTTTTCATGACTCAAAGTTGATGCATGGAAGATACTTCTACAGTCAACAGGATGGGATATTTGAAAAAAGCAATCAATAACAAACTCCTTCATCTTTACTGTTGAGCGTCCAGCTCCAGTCCTCCAGAACTATTTTCCACCAAATTCTAGATGGATCTCTGCTCCATCACACCTGAATCAAACAGCTGAATCATACCCACATGGGTCGTCAGTTTCTGCTTGAAACGTCCATTTGATTGAGGTGTTGGAAACAGGAACCCATCTTAATGCTTCTTAACGACTGGAGCCTGCGACCCCTGCTTTAGAGGAAGGTGGATAAAAACACAGCAGTTCTGTTCTTGGTATAGAACTTAGAACAAGGTCACCGCTGGGGAACCCTGCCAAGGCCGACCCAAGATTTGATGTATGCCTTTTCTGACACCGCATCCATTGTGGAGAGCAATGGATGGGCAACACATAAAGGCAGTGACAGAGAGCGCACTGATCCATATGCTCACCTTGATGTGCTCCATCATGGAGCCTTTCTGGGCGTAGAGCTTGGTGCAGTCGGGACACTTGAACACATGCACTTTCTGCTTGGCTAAATGGGTGTCAAAGTGCATGTAGAGCAAGGGTTTCTGGGTAAAAACCGTATCACACATCACGCACTTGTAGATCATCCTGTAATAAGAGAAGAAAAAACTTTGGTTTCCTCTCAAATATTTCAAATAAAGGAAGACCTTTACATGGCACATCTACATACTTGGCCTGTCCTCCTGTTAGCGTTGGGTGCTGGGTGCTAATGTGGTTTTGGGCGCTGGGGGAGGACTTGAAGGCCATGGGGCAGCTGGGGCACTTGTGGAAGACCTCACAGTGAGCTGTCTGGATGTGGGACTTGATGGAGTTCAGGCCTCCGAACACAACCTGGCAGCTAGAGCACCTGGAAGGAGCAGGGTGAGACCATTTTGACTTAACTCAGACATCCCTACTGCACGGGGAGGCTAGGTGTGTCAAACAAAATATGCAACGACAGAAGAAAACCACATAAGAAAATGCAAACTCATCTAAAATAAATTAAAAGTAAAGTTTAACTAAAAACACATTCCTGGTATCACTAAGAGGAAGAGCTTAAAGAACAGTAAGATCACCCTTTTTTGTAGTTTTTTTTTTTTTGCCTAAACAGCATTTTTACAACATAACCCTTATGGACCCTGTTGTACACTGTCGCCACCTGCTGACAGTACTAACTCCTGCATCCATCAGCTTTACAGCTTTAGCTGCTGTTTCAATACACTACTGATTTAATAATGTATCCAGTCATGAGGTCTTAAGTTAACTAACAAATGGAGGGGGAAAAAAGTGTTAAAACACAGAAATAAAAAAATAACGGAGAGATACGATCAAGTAAAATGCCATACGACTGGCATAAAATCAAATACAAACAGCATAAATACAAAACAACAAGCCGGTCGCTGTAACCGCAGAAAATCCTGCTTCACAAAGATAGAATGTTATGGATAGGATGAGTCTTGAACTGAATTAACCTTGGTCAAGAGGTACAGATGCACCGACTGATGTAATTGGGAGAGAATACCGCAATTCTTTATATTTTTCAAAATAAAACGTCACTCAGTCTCTGATCGTCGATAAATTATATATATATATATATATATACTTTTTTCTGTGCGGCAACCAGTGGTTGGGGACGGCTGGATTAGGAGACTTGGTGAACCTTTAGGATGCTCAACCTTAGAAGAACTTAAAGTTATTGTTTTTTTCTTAATCCATAAAGGCTTTAATAGTACGACGGAGTATTAGGGCCAGGCTAGAGATTTTTTTTATTTTGAGAATAAAGTTGTAACATTACAAGAATAAAGTAGTAATATTATGAGAATGAAGTCATGATACCACAAACCGTTTCAGAAAGAAAGCTTAGAGCTACGATCAGCATATGATGGCCGACCGGCACTACCAATCAGCAACCTGATCACACTTTGACATACTGTCCAATTGATGCTGCTGTGCTAAAAGATTTCCTTATTTGTTAAACTGATGAAGTATAACATCACATGATGCTCGATATTCCTCACTTTAGGGAAAACAGTGCTTCTTGTAAGAGTTATCATAAAATATAACTTTATTCACATAATCTTAGGATTTTATTCTCTTAATATGATGACTTTATTCTTGTCATTTTACGACTTTATTTTTGTAATTTTATTACTTTATTCTGGTAACTTTATTACTTTATTCTCGTAATTTTAGGGCTTTATTCTAATCATTTTATGACTAGTTTTTTAATTTTAAAACTTTATTCTCGTAATTTTACCACTTTATTTTCGTAATGTTTTACTTTATTCTGGTAATTTTATTACTTTATTCTCCTATTTTTATGACTATTCTCGTTGTAACTTTATTCTCGTAATTTTATGTTTTTATTCTCGTAATGTTGCGACTTCATTCTCGAAAAAGAAAAAAATCCCTCTAGCCTGGCCCTAATACTCCGTCGCAATATACTGGTCGGGTTGTTTTATGATGACTACATTCTCCTAATAATACAACTTTATTCTTGTAATTTTACGACTATATTCTCAAAATAAAAAAAATAAAAAAAGATCTCTAGCCTAGCCCTAATGCTCCATCATATTGATAGAGACCCTTGCTCTCTAAATATTATTTTTCAACTTAATAAACAAAACAATTCTTTGATTATTTTGGCGTCGATATTAAAACGTACGAGAGGAGCTGAAACATTTAGGAAAGTAAACCAGGTGAAATCTTCAATGATCCACTAAGGAATGAGTGATTTCGGCTTTAAAATTAAACCTTAAAAATTATCTGAATTTTGACAGTTTTACAAGTGTCTCCCTACCTGTAGCCAATGCGCCTGGCGAAGTGAAGACAGGCCTCATCCAGGTGAGTCTGGAAGCTGGTCTGCCGCGCAGTCCCACCACACTCAGGACAAACATATGGGGCTTTGTGTTTATGGATCCTCTGGTGGGCGGAGACGGCGCACGAGTTAGGGAGCATCATTGGAGGTGAGCATTGGCTGCACGTCTGGGAAAAAAACAACAACAAAAAAAAGTTAAACATTCAGTGTATGTTGCTGTTTTTCTCCTTAAGATAACAGGTTTGTTTCTCACCGAACTGGGAGCACCTCTGATCTGCTGGAAGTGAGTTACCAGCTCTGCCTTGCTGGAGAATTGCGTTTGGCACTCTGGACACTTGAAGTTGTTGTACTGCAGCCCCTCAGCCTTCTTGCACGGCAGCGGCATCAAGGCCTGGGGCCCCTGAGGAGCACGGCGGACAGGTCGAGGCGGAGCTGCTGCAGCCGGAGATGAGGTGTCCTTCATGGGGCTGGAGGTAGCGGTGGCGGCAGGACCTCCTGACGTGGCAGAGGGAGAAGAGACTGGAGGAGAGGACGAAGAAGTAAGCAGGCCTGGTTCAGCCAGACGATGGAAAACAGACAGGAAATATGGGTGGTGGTCAGTGAAGATGGGTGAAAAGAAAAGATGCTTCGGGTGGAATGTCAAAGACTCACGGTTCCACTTACCACCAATCGGCATAATGTCCTGCTGGCCAATCATCTGCTCCACTGTGACAGGCCTCATGACCAGATGGGAACACTGCATGACCAGGCCACGCTCCTTGTGCTCCCTGGCGTGCAGCAGCAAACTGCACTTGTTGAAGAAGGCCAGCCTCTTGGCGCAGTGGTTGCAGGTGACCTCAATGCGGAGTGAGCGCCGGTCGTAGTGCCGCGCCAGGCTGCGCTCCAGGGCGAATGCGTCTCCACACTCCAGGCAACGGTAACCTGTGGCGGGCAGCGGGAGCCCCCACTCGGGCGGCGGAGGCGCAGAGAGGTCGGGCTTGTAGCTCGGCAGGAGGTTTTTGCTGTTCAGGATCTTGTTGAAAGCCTCCACCAGGCTCGACTGGCTCCGGGAGATGACGGCTCCTGTGTTGTTAACGATTGACGCGGGTTTGTTTGCCTGGAGGGTGTTGCCCGAGATGGCGGTGCCGCCTCCATTTGCCGATTTGTTGGTGGCCGTGCGGACGCTTATCCCGCTGGCAGCGACGGAGAACTTTGGGGAAGAGGCCACGGCGGGTGTTGCAGGCAGGGCGGCAGACTTGGTGATGCTGACGGCCGTGGCTGAGACCTTTGCCTTGTCCGTAGATGCCATCTTGTTTTGGACTTTAGTGGCAGCGGCGAGCATGACACTGCTGGCTGCAAGCGTGGAAACAGGCAGAGAATTTAGAGCACTTACTTTTTGGGATGATGTCGTGGTGAGAACGGGTTTCTGGGTTTTGTTCGCTAAAAGCTTGTGTTCCCCAGTTTGAGCTTTTGGCTCCAAGCCTTTTCCTCCAGCACCACCTTTTGACGCCACTCTAGTGACCGTCCTGGTAATCCCACCAGTGGAGGTTTTAATGGTTTTTATCCTGACTTTAAGGGGCCGGGATGGAGCTCCAGGCGGTGCAGGTACAGCACTTGGAGCAATTTCCCCTCCATCAGTGGAGGAAGGTTTAGACTTGCCATCATCCACCTCCATATTCTCCTCACTGGTCCTCATATTTTCTCCCTTTTCTCCTTTGCCGTCCACAACCCTATCGATCCCGTTTCCCACTTCCATCTCCACCTCCTCCTCTTTAGGCACCCGCAGCTCTGAGGGAGGCGGAGTGGAAGCCACAGCGGGACTGGAGCACGTCTTCCCTGGGACCTGAGCTGCTGAGTTTGGCATCTCTGGTTCGGGGCTCTCTGGCGAATCTCTCTCCTCTATAACATGTTCTGGATGTCTCTCCTCCACCTGTGGAGCCTCCGCTGAGCTGGGCTGTGGGACGGGTGCAGACGGAGTGTTCCCCGGTTTTGGTTGGGATGCAGTAGAGGATGCTGGCTGCGACGAAACTGAATCAGACTTGTATCGTCTGCTCATCTGAGCGCTAGCTGGAGAGTCTGGGTTTTCCTGGATAACAAGCGGACTCCCCAAATCTGGGTCTGAATCCTCCTCCTCCACCTGGTGCTGAAACCCCCCCGCCCCGCCTTTTGGGGCGCCGTTAAAAGGTTGCGATGAAGGTGCAGAAGGAGGAGCTGAAAGCAGAGGCTTGGGCGGTGGAAAGAATGGCAGGGCAAGTCCGGCGGCTAGAGAAGAGGACCCGGCGGAAACTGAGGAAGACGAAGGTAGTGAGGCTTTGACAGCGTCTGCTCTCTCCTCAACCGTATCCTGCTGCTGTTGGTGCTGCTGCTGCAGGAGCTGCATTTTCCTGGCCCGACCCACTGGATCTCCAGACCCCTGCGCCACCAGCGGTTTCAGTCTGTTGAAAATGTTTCCCCCCTGCTTGTGAGACTTGGCCGTACTGACACCAGCCGCTTCTGCAGACGCTTTGGGAGTGTTCACAGACCAGGGAGCGCCATTGGACTGATTCTGGCCGAGGGGGAGCGGCGTGGAGACACTGGATGCTCCGAAACCGTTGTGATTGAGGGCTTCAGATTCCGCACAAGCACCAAGTCGTGGACCCGCGTCCGCTCCTGCCATCATATCGATGGGGTGCTGGTCAGAGTCTCCGTCCCCACCATCTACGGCCTCGTGACGAACTTTGTTCTTTACAATCACACTCACGATGGAGGTGTCTGCCTGGCTGTCTGCGGGACTGGGCGGCCTCAGAGAGGACCCCACACCCACCACGCCTTCCTGCTTTCCCAAAGGTGCACCTGCAGGTCCGTGGGGTCCCTCAGCATCATCAGGAGCGGACTGTATGGCCTCTTTGGCATCTATGTCGGGGATATCAAACGCTGCCAAAAGGTCATCAAAATCTGGGGTCTTCATGTCCCCCATACCGGGATCCACTCCTGGACAATAAAAAAAAAAAATACTGAACTGTTAGGATTCAGCTGCAAAGATGGAATCCCAACATATAATTAAAGCACAAAAGCTGTCAAAGAACTTCAGTTCAACACTTAGAATCTAATTACTTAGCTCTATATTAATGTCATGATTTGCATTTAGTCACTTAAGGGATCAGTACAAGGAATTTACTTAATGATGGTTTTTCTTAACCCCTGATCTGCCGATTCTGCTTCACTGCATTTTTGTTTTTAACAAGGACTTTAAAACAAAAGTGAATAATGCATCAGACTGCATCTTACCAACATAAATCAAATTTTAACTCCTTTCAAACCAGAAGGCAACATTCAGTTGGTTGATTCATTTACACATCAAGCAAAAGGTTTTTGGTTTTAATTAATTAAATCAAAAGAAAGAAAATATTTTTTTTCCTTTATTTTATCTGCCAATCAGGGTAAAAAAAGGTACATTCTGATCAATGTCTCTTTACCACATAAAAATGGTTGAATTAAAGCAACAGAGCCAAAAACTAGGAGGTACAAGATCATCCTCATCTGTGCATCCAAGCATATGTCCTTAACCTTTATCTGGTTTCTCTACTAGCCTCCAAACAAAGTGCTGCCAACATGCTGCCGCTTTACACGCTTAGAGACTAAACAATCAGTCTTAATGCTTTCCATTAAAAGGAATAAAACTGATCTTTCTCAATTGAGTGACCAAACTCACTTTTCCCTTTGGCAGGTTTTTGCAAAATTTGATTTTGGTCAATCCTGCTAACAGTTAAATACTGAAGGGTTTAGTAAATGTAAACATTGAATAAAATTATTAGTAGTAACAACTGCTTTCTCCTCATTTTAAAAAGCTTCCAGCCCTCTCTGACACTTTTAGCATATTTGGCATAATCATAATCTGTGCCACATATGGGAAACCCCTGCATCGATACTCTACTCTACATGCTTAATATTCCCATGCAAATTGTGGAATAAAACAACCAACAAACAATGCATTTCAAACAGTCCTTTAGCATAGTCATACTTCATAAATCAGCATTGGGATGTATTGTGCGGCCCTTTTACAGAAGAAATAACAGGATGGATCTGTGCATGTGTGGTGCAGATTCAGTTAAACGGTATGCTCATAAAAATAAAACAGAACCACTCATAGGGAAATTAAAACATGTAAGAGAGGATAACTTTTATGTTTTATGTTCTCTCTCTGTCGAGCACATTTTGGATGTGGTTTCCAAAGCTTCCCCAACCTCATGATTGTGGTTAGTAGAGGGTAATGTGAGTTCTGTGGCTTAACCAACAGTGTTCCTAATTTCTGTTTAATGCAGGTCATAGTTTGGCTACTTCACTGCTGAGACATATGCAAAACCTCTGTAACAAGCAGGGGATGTAAAACCCGGATATACCCCATTTAGCATGGATAAACATCTTAGTTTGTTTACTAAATCTATTCAGCTGTGTAATGATTCATTTGCAGTAATATTATGGGGTAATCACTTGTGTATGTGATTATTCTGGATTACTTATTTTATATTACTCTGCTAGGAAATTCAATGCAATTACATACATTTACTTGATGCTTTAAGATACACGTTTTAAATAAACAAGGATAAAATAGTAAAGCTTGGGAGGAGAAATCCTGATATGTTGACAATGAATCTGAGCCGTGTGGCTACACGAGTGCTACACATTAAATGTCTTCAAAGATGTCGGTTACCGGTAAAATGTATCAAGGGTGCGTATATATTACACATTAATTGCCAAGCTCGAGGGAAGATGAGGCAGGTTGGATGGGTGTTTCGGTCTCCGGCACCAGCATCGACTTAGCCGGCTAGGATGGAGCAGCTAGCGGCGACGTTTCAGCAAACCAACCCCTTCTCCGATGACAGGTTCGGCTCTTTTAACCATGAATGGAGTAACACCGGTTTAATAATGCTTTTACTACCATTCAATGGTTTTAGTAGGTGGACGTTTGGGGGTCGGTTTGTTGCTAAATAGCGTTTCTGTGGCCGCGAGCTCCGTTATTTTAAGCTAACGATATTCCCTTCCGTCTGAGGCTGCTGGCCGCTGAGCTCCAGCCAAGACGGAGAGGAGAGGGGTCATCGAGCTAACGAGCTAGCCTCGGCCGTTAAAAGCAACAGGAGCGGTCCGCTGGCTTCGGCTCTGACAGCGGTCACAGTCTACTGTTCGAGGGCTCGACGGTGACGGAGAAAATGATGGCTGTGATGGGGATTTTACTTTAATATTTGATGTATTTTGGATTGTTTACCTGGATGTGCGATTCCCGACTATCCTAGCTCGTTTTCAGCAGAATATGCTGCGCTTCTAACAAGGTGCCGCCAGCGACGGAGCCGGGTCTGTGTGCCGATTCTTTTTTGGTTCACGATAAGGACCGTGACATAAAAGCTTCCAACCACCTCTTTTCTGTAAAAATTAAAGGTATTTAGAATTTCATTTTCGTCACTACTTTGTTGTATTGTGTTGTAAACCTTTCGTTCCATTTGAAAATGAGTTAGTGTGGAGATTCTGCTTTGGGGTTATTATCACCATCATACTGTACCTACGATTCACCAGAAGATGTTTGAAGGAAATCTGAGATTATTATATAAAAATTAAGGCTGAATCTGAATTGGGTTCTGCAATTTGACAGTGACTGAATAAAATTTGATATTAGAAGGCAGTGTGTCCCATCTTTTTTACTTTAAATGCAGTGTTTGTGTGTACATGAGTAAAATAAGAGTGTTAACTTTTACCTTCCAGATCAAAACTAAAAGATCCCAAATCAACATGTAAACATTACAAAGAGCTGAGCATTAGGATGTCCAATTTTTCATTACTATCAGTTAACATTTTATATAAAAGATGAGGTAAAGCTACATGTGGAATGTAATATAGCCTATTTCATGGGAGAAAAAAAAAAGTGTTTTAGGGCAGAACCCCTTTTCAAACCAGGGTCGAAAGACTCGAATCACGAAGTAGCGCCGCAATTTCCATCACTACTTGCTTCCCGTCACGTGACCACGCGCATCCCAATGAGTCGCGATACCGCTGGAAAAATTACAAGGATGTTGCCAACGACATTAAATTTGTGTTTGGTTGTTTTACATTTTATAAACTGTTAAAATACGAGACTGCAATCTTAACTACAAAGATTGTCTGCTGAGATTTATTTAATCTATTGTTCTTTTATTTCTGGTGCTAGGAATGAGTCTTTGAAAGGACGTATGGAAAAAGATGACGTTTACATCTGGCTTTTATTGCAAAAAATAAAACCCCAAAACAAACAGAAAAAAATCAAAACCACACATAAATAGACATCGCAAGAGAATAACTGTTTTGTCTACAGCTGCTCATTTATTCTTTTAACAAATTTATACCATGAAAATAAAATGCAGGCTGAAGTGTTTTAGAATAACTGACCCTACTATTTTTTTTACTTTATAAATGTGTATATCTAGAGAATTCTTTCGGACAAATCAGACTCTTAATTGTGATTCTTTTATTTATTTATTATGTACTTAAGATGTCAAAGTGCTGCCATGCACAGTGGTGCATCAGCAATCACGTATGTAAAGAAATCCTATAATTGTTCGTTTCTCTTTTGTTTTGATGTCTCATTTCTTCTTCTCTTCATCCTTTTTGCCATCTTGCTTGTTTCCTGTCTGGGATGCCAGGGAGCCCATTGCGTTGCGGATGGCCTCATTGTTGGGATCGACCCCAGGCAGGTTCTCCAAGACACTCTGAAGGAACTCTGGGTCTTGCATTACATCATAGTCATCCTCCTCCTTTTCAAATGAAAAAAAATGTACATATAGGCTTAATTTAAAAGGCTTCAGTACTTATTGATTTTAAAATGATTTAAAATATCAGTTCCAGATATACCTTATTTACCCATTGAGTGACACTAGAACAACTCATTCATGGATTACTTTCTATTATTTCTGATTTTTTGCTTTTTAACCCTATAAATCAGACTAGAACAGCTGAATAAATTAAGGATTCTGCACTGAGTTTGACAAAAAAAATACACACAATAGTTTTGTAATAACTATGGGTATTTTAAGAGTAGTCATGTTTTAAACATGGAACATGCAAAAACTGGACAGGCATGGAGCAGAAGGATGGATAGATTATTTAAAGTGACACTGTAACTTTAAGCCACAAGGGGCGCTAGACCTATGACTTTTTTAGGTTTGGCACCCCCAAAAGCAACTGGCAACACAGCACTGTTGGAAAATGAAACGGTCTCACTTCATGTTTTATCCTTAGATTGAGAAGTCAGGGATTTACTTGTAAAGACAAGGCAACATTGACTGCTCTAGATTAAACGCTACTCCACAGAGTAGGATTTGATCTGTCTGATCAACTACCGGTAAGTATGATATCTATTTGTTGCCTAACTTATAGCTTACTGGTGCTTCTGTTTAAGGGAAGCTCCGACTGCTGAAAAACGCCGTCTAGGTCACATGACCAATTCAATGATGGACCTGATCTTCTCAAGTTACATATTGTGATAAGCTGATATTTGGATTAAAAGGTATGCAGAGTTGATTTAAGGAATGAAAGGATGGACATGAAACAGTGTTTATTAATGGCTGGGTGGGTGACAATAGATGATATCGGATGAAATATGATGAATGGGCTAGTAATGCATGCATCGACAGATGGAGGAATTGCTTCAATTACTGGAAAAATGGACAGAGTAACAGATTACTTGGTGGGTAGATAAAATATAGAAGGAAGATGGACAAATTGATAAATAAAAAAAATAAATTTAGATACAAGGAATACAAGGTAAAAACTTTGGAAAGTATTTTTTCATTCTATATTTTTCTAAACAATTATATGGATCCAAAAAAACAGACCCCAATTCAGTACTTCTACAGATTTATTAGGCATATGCTGTGTTTCTACATTTACTATTCTTTGGAAATCAACCTCCTAGAACAGACTCAGGAAAAACTCATAACAAGGAAAACTCAGCAGCTAAAAGTCTTTGCCTTTTATAAGGATGATGATTCCTTGCAAATTTGTAACCACGATCGTAGAAAAGTCTAAATACAAGTTATTTTACCAAAACAAACTACATAGAGGCTGTGAAAGACTGACCTTGGCTGATTCGGCAGTGTCCATAGCAGCTCCTGTGTCCATTTCACTATACTCTGTTCGCAAGGAAACAATTATTCAACACGATAGTGTGTGAAGAACTCATTTGTAAACAAGAATAAACCCCACCTCCTCCAGCTAAAGACATCTGCATGGCATAGGCTATCTGTTCCTCTTCCGTCATGCTGCTGATATCAGGAATCACTGCAGTGCCGCTCTCAGGCTGAGAAACAGACATCTTCAACAAGGCTTCCTCCGACTCTGTTAAAACAATGACAAATAAAAAATTTTTGTTGAGAATCTACTTGTTGGCTGTTTTAGCAAATATTGGTAATATGTGGAAGCTACCATCTGCGCTGGGTGTGGGCACGCCTGCCTCGGCAGCAGAAGCAGCAGCAGCTCTGCGGGCCTCCTCCTCCTGCCTCTGTCGTTGTTCCTCCATTGAAACGCGTAGGGCCTAAAGCCATTCACAAATAGAGCACAATGAAGAATCATTTTTAATATATATATATATATATATATATATATATATATATATATATATATATATATATATATATATAAATAAAAGGCTTTAGGTCTAAGGAAAACATAAGTAGAACAATGGAGGAATCTACATGACAGCAGTAGCATTTTGTTCCTCACAGATTGCACTCCTTCATAATACTTTATGAGTTATTACATGCATACACTCTAAATGAAATAGCATGTGTTACTGCTTACCAAGGCCAACTCTGGATCAGCACTGGGGTCAACTCCGAACTCAAAGTCGCTGGCGCCCAGCCCCATCATAGAGCCTCCCTCTCCGGCGAGGATAGGGGAGGACAGTAGGGCATCAGCCAGGCTGGGTCCAGGAGGCACTGTGACCAAGTGGGAACCTGTTCCCTCCTTTCCATTTAAAGTGTTAATGAATGCAGTCAGCTTCTCTGTGTTCGCCTCCTGAATAAGTAGGTGGACGCATAACATTGTCAGAAAAGCGAAATCCCATACTTTTTCAACGATTCGATTTAATCGTGGTACTTTTGTAGCATTCTGAACAGTTAAAACAAATCATTTGCCTTAACACCTCTATGTTCCCCAAATAATAAAATAATGCTTGGATTGGATTTGGTTTTCAAACTGTTATGGAGCCATCTCATAGGTTTTTGTTTTTTTTTTTTTTTGGGGGGGGGGGGGGGGGGGGGGGGGGGGGGGGGGGGGTTTGTTTGATTTTTTGCAATCTGAGCAACAATAAATCCTCTTAGTTTCCTTATCTATGACTCTTGAACTTGTGCTTAATTACTGGAGTGTCCCACAATAGATACAGATCCTATAAAGTACAATTTCAGAACACAAAACCTTGCCTCTACTGAGAATTTCAAGCATCTCTGCAGCCTAAGGGCTTTAGTGCTTTGGTAATTTTAAAATCAGACCCAGTTTAAAAAGAAAAAAAAAAAAAACAATTCAGCCCAAGTTCAACATCTAAAATGAAATTGTCCTGTGAAGGTCCAAATCAGTCTGTAAATCAACCATCAAATTGCTGATGGGTAAAATCTGCTTTAGTATAAAGGCATACATTTATCTAAATCCATAATGTTTAAGAAAAACAAAAACACATCTTTCTACACTTATCCACCAAATATAAAATGTGAAAGGTCTATTTTGTAATGTGTAGGAACCCAGAAACTAAGAACCTTACCCCTTCATAACAAAAAGTGATAATGAAAAAAACTCATCACCTCTTCACCAAAGTTGATGATATCCACATTCACTTTCTCCTTTTTCAAGCGCTTTGCCATCTTAACAAGCTATAAGACATGGTGGAACAGAGAAGAAGGAAAAAAAAAACACAGGATTCAGTGGAAACAGCAATACCCCTGGGAAAAGATCTGGCCGAGCATCAAAAAACACTCACATCTTTCTCGTTGTCTTCCACGGGACTCCCAACAAAGGCAATAATCCTCATTTTGTGGTTTTTTCCTTGTCTGTGTTTTAAAGCCAGCTGAATAAGAGAGACAAATACATGGCTGCTCAACAAGTACTGCTGACAATCTATTTGAGCAAATATAAAACAATAGAAGAAAAAAGTACTATCATACAGAAGTATACAAACTTAAATACCAAAAATAGCACAACTGCTAAAATTGAGTATGAATGGGTTAAAAACTTAAAGGGTCAAACCCCACTTCTCTCCTCAACACAAAAGTTGTTTAAAAAGTCTCTAGAATACAGCTTCCTACCAATTAGTGTGGCATAGATGTACCTCAGTAA